GGCTGCGGGCCGGCGGGTGGGCTGGGTCCCTGGTGTGCCCTGAGGCTCTGGCCATACGCGGGGCTGCTTCCTCGACGTGTGGAACTGGACTGGTCATTGCCGGGACCCTGCTGTCCTCAGGCTTAGCGTGACCTCGGGGTGCTTTTTGGGATGTGGGCAGTTGGTACTGCATTTCCAGGGTCCAAGGTGCTGGTGGATTCCAGGGGTCAACAGAACCGTGAGCTATGCCCGGACCCTCACCTGCGGGTGTGAGTCAAGTTTTATGGCACAAGGCTCCGCCCATGTGTGGATGCGACAGTGCAGCCACAGCGTTGCCTGTCTGAGCCCCGGCCTCTGTGCCCAGGACCGTGCCCCGGGACAGCAGCTTGTGGCACTCTGCCAAAGTCTCGGACTCCTCGTTGGCCCCAGAGTCCCCTTTCCCGTAGCTAGCCACTATACGGTTGGGGACGCTGCATGTGTCCCCTCCGAGGGCAGCTGCCTACTGGCCCCCCGCACAGGTGCTGAACGACACCTGGGTCTCCTTCCCCTCCTGGTCGGAAGACTCCACCTTCGTCAGCTCCAAGAAGACGCCGTACGAGGAGCAGCTGCACCGCTGTGAGGATGAGCGGTTTGAGGTGCGTGCCGACCATGCCTGCCGTCCCAGCTGCTCAGGAGGCTGAGGCAGGAGGATCACGGGTTCAAGCCCCACCTGGGCAATTTAGCAAGACCTTGTGTTAGTTTTTAAGAAAAAGCTGAAGGTGTAGCTCAGTGGTGAACACTTGCTTAGCATGCACAAGGGCCTGAGTTCAATTCCTAGTGCTGCAAAAGAAAAAGTTCAAACTAAGCTAGCTTTACTTTCTCATTGACATTTTGACTGAGATCGTTAGTTACAAATAGTATGAAAAAATAACTGAGTCCCAGGTCTCTTTCCCTGCCCTCTCTAGCAGTGGTGGTGTCCCATAAAACTCTAGCACCATCCAGGCATGGTGGCCCATGCCTGTAATCCCCGGGAGGCTGAGGCAGGGGGCTTGCCATGAGTTCAAGTCCAGCCTAAACTACATACGCGATCCTGTCTTAAAATAAGTAGAACCCTAGCACGGTGTCGGACCCATGGTGTCGACACCGAGATGGCCAGTGGTCTCCACATCTGCCCAGCGGGAGGGCTCTCTCTTAAGTTGCCAGGGTGCGTCCCCGGGCCTGATCTTGGGGTCCTCCTGCCTTGACCTCCCGAGTGCTGGGATCACAGCGGTGCCTGACTTCCCTCTTAGCTGGGGTGCTTCATGGTGTGCAGAGGTTCCGTAGCCCATAGGCGGAGCAGGCGGGAAGGGAGAAGGGGCTGAGCTGCTGTCTCTGCCCAGCCGCCCACCAGGCCGGTGCCGGGAGGCTCCAGGGCATGCCAGGGTGGGGGAAGGCCCTGTGCCGCCCGCCCACTGGGTGAATGCGGTCAGTTCCAACCCCACACCCTCCCGCAGCTGGATGTGGTCCTGGAGACCAACCTGGCCACCATCCGCGTGCTGGAGAGCGTGCAGAAGAAGCTGTCGCGCATGGCGCCCGAGGACCAGGAGCGCTTCCGGCTGGACGACGCTCTGGGTGGCACATCTGAGGTGATCCAGCGGCGCGCCGTCCACCGCATCTACGGCGACAAGGCCCCTGAGATCATCGAAAGCCTCAAGAGGAACCCCGTCGCTGCCGTGCCCGTCGTCCTGAAGAGGTGCCCTGTGGCTGTGCCACCCTGGAGTGGGGTGGGCCTCGTCTGTGCTCAGGACAGACGCCACTGCAGAAAGCACTCCGAGGCCACCCTCGGATCTGCAGACCAGAAACCGCAGATGTGCAGGGCTGGGAGCAGCTCCTTCAGAACAAGGGGCTGGGCTTATTGGCAGAGGGATGATCTCAGCTGCCCTCCCTGGAGGCTGAGGCAGGAGGATGGCTGCATGGCAGCCCTTCCTGCTGCACCAGAGGCCCTCGCTCCAGCGCCGGGATGAACCCCTACAGAACGCTGTTCCTTACTTGGTCATGCTGTCTGGGACTGTGCTGGGCTCATTTTTCGCAGCTGGGCAGGGTGGCCGTGGGGGCACCTCCCTGGGGCTCACAGTGCAGTGACTGGCTGCTTGGGCACTGGGGAAACCACAGCACAGGGGCAGGGAGGGGAGGAACTGCTGACCCAGCCCACCATGCCAGGCACCTGAGTGCCTTTGGGGATGGAAGCCTGGGCCTTCTCACTGAGCTGCCACCAGCCCTTTTCCTTTATGAGACAATCTCTTAAGTCACTGAGTTCCCAGGATGGGCTTGGACTGGAAACTCTCCTGCCTCAGTCTCCCAGAAAGAAGGCCGCCACCGCCTTCTCCCCTGTTGTGCTCGGTGCTGCTCTGGCGCCTGCCCCTGAGCCCCTCGCCTCTGCCTCCGCCCTGCCCGCAGGCTGAAGGCCAAGGAGGAGGAGTGGCGGGAGGCACAGCAGGGCTTCAACAAGATCTGGCGCGAGCAGTATGAGAAGGCCTACCTCAAGTCACTCGACCACCAGGCTGTGAACTTCAAGCAGAACGACACCAAGGCGCTGCGCTCCAAGAGCCTGCTCAACGAGATCGAGAGTGTGTACGACGAGGTGGGCACCGCCGTCCCGCTGCCTGGGCTCCCTCTGCCGGCCTGACCAGTGGCTTTCCCCTGGGGCAGCAGGCCCCCTGCACCCAGCTCACATGCAGCAGCTGCTGCCCAGGGGTGGCCGGGTAGCCTCCGGTGCCGCGGGGAGCAGTGTGCCCTTGGCTTGGCCGAGTGGGAACCAGGACCCTGAGCACCAGCCTGGGCCAGGCAGCCACCCGCTGGCCCCTGGGTCTTGGTCTCGTGCTCAATCCTGCCTCGCTCCTGCCTCGGCCTCCCGGGCAGGTCCGTCAGTGACCACCGGGCGTGTGTGCTGGGGTGAGATGGGGCCGGGCCCCGCAGGCCTCTGCTGGAATGGAGGTGCCTTGGGGTACCCTCTTTGTGGGCCGGGCCGGGGCTGGGACAGGTGAAGGCCTTGTGCACCCCACGTGGAGATGGGCCGTGGCCAGGGGCACTTGGGACACTGCTGTCCCCTGGACTGAGCCAGACCTGGTGCCTCAGGCCACCCGGAGTTCCGGGCTAGGATGTGTGGGGGGGTGGTTGGGCGGGGACCGTCCCATCCTGCGGCAGCCCCGTCCGCGCCTTGTCCGCAGCACCAGGAGCAGCACTCAGAGGGCCGCAGCGCACCGGCCAGCGAGCCACACCTCATCTTCGTCTACGAGGACCGGCAGATCCTGGAGGATGCAGCGGCGCTCATCAGCTACT